TACAAAGCAAGACGTGTCCTCAAATTCAAAACAGTTGACTTTGGAATGTCATCCCTCCTATACACTCATTTCCTCTGTGCTTTGCTGCCAAACATTTCTCAGGGCACACTGCAGGAATCTGACTGGTTGTTGAATGCAAAAAGTCCCAGATTCCCACAGATGACTAATTTTTAGTAATGTTTAACAGTACTTCCGACTAGTTTCTGCTCTAAGTTGGTTATTTATTGATTAGGTAATCAATGAGTGGTGGTAAGGCTCCCCGAGAACCCTTATACAGAAAACTTAAATCTTCAACAAGATATAGTACATACTGGGTCCTCATCCCTTCTCTTGTTTTTTTGTTTTTTTTTTTTTCTTTTTCTTTTGGAGACAGAGTCTCACTCTGTCACTCAGACTAGAGTATAGTGGCATGATCCCGGCTCACTGCAACGTCTGCCTCCTGGGTTCAAGCAATTCTCCTGCCTCACTATTCTGAGTAGCTGGGATTACAGGCACCTGCCACTATGCCTGGCTAATTTTTATACTTTTTAGTAGAGACGGGGTTCCACCATGTTGGCCAGGCTAGTCTCGAATTCCTGACCTCCAGTGATCTGCACACCTCAGCATCCCAAAGTAGTGGGATTATAGGCATGAGCCATGGTGCCCGGCCTTGAGCATTCTATATGAGAACAAAATTAACTTATACTGGCACCATGGCTCACACCTATAATCCCAGTACTTTGGGAGTCCAAGGTAAGAGGATCACTTGAGTTCAGGAGTTCAAGACCAGCCTGGGCAACATAGACCTCTTATCTACAAAAAATTAAAAACTTAGCCCAATGTGGTAATACAGGCCTGTAGTCCTAGCTACCTGGGAGGCTGAGGTGTGGGACAACCGCTTGAGCCTGGGAGATTGAAGGTATAATGAGCATTGATCACACCACTGCACACTCCAGCATAGGCAACAGAGAGAGACCCTCCTTCGAAAAAGAAAAAGGTAACTTAACATATCCCTAGAAGTTGCACATAGTGTGTTCTTGTGTTCCGCTTAATTTTGTATTACTCAGGTTGGGTGGTGGTGATGCAGTTAATTAACTTTTATTAATCAGTGATGCCACCTAGTGGCCAAAGAGTATATTTTGTAGTGTACCTACACCCTGAAACAACGTCTGTGGGTTTTTTTTCCTTGGATAAAAATAACCTCAGTGGCATTTGAGGCAGTTTTATTAGTGAAGTGTTTTTCTGTTTTTGTTTGTTTGTTTGTTTGTTTGTTTTAATTGTTGTTGTTTGTTTGTTTTTTGAGACGGAGTTTTGCTCTTGTTGCCCAGGCTGGAGTGCAATGGGACAATCTTGGCTCACTGAACCCTCCGCCTCCTGGGTTCAAGCGATTCTCCTGCATCAGCCTCCCGAGTAGCTAAGATACAGGCATGTGCCACCATGCCTGGCTAATTTTGTATTTTTAGTAGAGAAGGGATTTCTCCATGTTGGTCAGGCTGATCTCAAACTCCTGTCCTCACATGACCCACCTGCCTTGGCATCCCAAAGTGCTGGGATTACAGGTGTGAGCCACCACGCCTGGCCTGAAGTTTTGAATAATGCTCAGTTTGTTTTGGCAGGAACGGAAAGGTCATAGAATACTACCAGTTTAACATGGGCAAACTGAAATGACTGTTCCCCTCATTGTTCTTAGGAAAGTTTCTGCTAAATACCAGGTCCTGTGTGATACGTAATAGATGATTCCCTATGACCAATATAGGTGTGTCTGTCTGGTTTACTTTCCTGGGTTTCAGCTGGGTTATAACAGTCACTGGGGCAGCCAGTGGTTTCATTGTTCCTCCACCTGACTCAGAGGGTGATCAGTCACATTCTTATGCTGCAGTTAAGGCCCCAGGTAATTCTTAACTGTTTAAGGAGATCCTGGTCCTACTCTCTTTACCAAGGTAAAAGTACTCAAAAAGATATACTGCAAGAAGATAACCTAAAAACATGGATGGATGGATGGATGGATGGATGGATGGATGGATGGATGGATGGAAGTAAGTAAGTTTGGAAGTTGGGGAGTTGAATTTTGGAGACCATTAAGATGTTTTTAAAAATTGGCAAGGAGGGTAAACATAACTCCATTACTTCCTTGATTCATAGCATGATGTTGCAACGTGTTAGTGGTGGGTTTTCTGCTAAGTGTACTTAAATTGTGTTCATAAAAGTTCATGTTGAGTACAAGCAAAGAAAATGCAACTTAGAAGCTTATCAAGCTCAGCACAGTGATTCTGAGGTCAGGATTTCCTAATATGGACATCTTCTGGGGAGCCCTTTTGGTTTAGAGAAATGTCTCGGTTTTCAAGGATCTACTTCTGTATTAAAGAACAGAAATTTAGGACAAAATAGAAACTCACCGTGAGTCTGATATTTAGGTAAATCTACATTCCTTTCTCTTCAGCTAACTAACAGCTTAAGGAAAATCACTTGATTAATGAGGTAGCTTAGGATTTGAGAACATCTAATAGGGAGGGTAAGTTTGTCTCCTTAACCCTGTCAGCTGTCAGCCATAGAAATGTTAAATGTTTGTACTCACCAAACACAGCTTATGTAATATATTGAATGCATTCTGAATGGTGTCAGAGTGAGAATAAGTTTATTTTCATCTCCGGATGAGGCTAAGTGTAATGTATAATTTATGTATTTTGTCAATTTGGGTTCTTTTTTTTTATTTTTAATTTGTGTGTGTGTGTGTGTGTGTGTGCCTGCTTCATTTTTCCTTTATATTTTGAGGGGGATGCTCTCTGCATTCAAATTAAGATTTAAATTGCTAGCGATCGTCTCTGGCAAGATAGAACCTATGCCATGGTGCAGGGAAGCTAAATATGGTTATACATAACATTTCATCATGGCTTATTGCCAGTGCTGGATATTTATAATGTCCATGTCTAGACTCACAGAGGCTCTTAGATCACTGTCTCAAAGAGTAAGAGTTTCAGCAGTCGGGCGTGTCTTTGTGTCATCTGTTACGTTTGAAGATGTGGCACTGACATCCATGTTTTCTTTTGTTCCTTTGAGCACGAGTTCATAAATCTATGAGATGAAGTTCTATCTATTCCATAATATTACTAAATAGTAGTTGGGCCTGATAAAGATGTATTTAGTCTCTGAATATACCACCTTTCCTCCTTTCATTTCTCAATTCCCACTGGTGTTAGAATTGGTTTCAGCCCTTAATTGCCGTTTACCTCAACTAAAATACAGTCCTATCTAAAAAATAGTATATTCTTGGCCAGGTGCAGTGGCTCACTGCCTGTAATCCAGCACTTTGGGAGGCTAAGGCAGAAGGATTGCTTGAGGCCAGAATTTAAAAAACAGCAGACATGGGGGCACACACCAGTAGTCATAGCTACTTGGGAGGCAGAGACAAAAGGATTGCTTGAGTCCAGGAATTTGAGGCTGTAGTGAGTGATGATTGCACTACTGTGCTCCAGCCTGGGCAACAGGGGTGAGACTCTGTCTTGAATGAATAAGTGAGTTGTTTTTATTCACTAAGCATTTATTGTGCACTTTGTACAAAGCCCCTGGCTAAGGGCTGTGTAAGGGAGAAAGATATATCAGATGACCTGCTCACAAGGAGCTTTGAGTCTAATGAAAACGAAAATGATAAAAGCATAAAGTGAAACTGCTGTGTCATGTGTTATTCAAAGGGAGAAAATGTTTCTTTCAAATGGAAATTTTGTAAGAGAAGGGGGATTTAAGAAGAGCCTTGAAGAAAATGAGTAGAATTTGCATATGCAGAGACAGAGAAAGGGATTGTGCAAAAGGGATTGTTAGAGACAAAAGGTGTGAAGCCAGGGGACACAAGGGGTTTAAGGGGTTGCACAGAATCAAATGTCAGAACAAAGGGCCCATTTTAGGCAGTGGCAAGAGAGAAAACTGATACAGACCATGTAGTGGGGGGCTTTAAATTACAGAAAGGAGTTTGTATTAATTTGACATGTAATGGGAGTCCAGCTAGCATTTCTCAGCAGAGAAGGAAGTTTTGCCTTGAAATTCCATGACTTTCCTTGGCGTTAAAGATTTATTAAATATGGGTTCCTCTATTAATTACCTCAGGTTTTTTTTTTTTCTGTATTATAAGAACTACTATATACCATATTACTTATTTACAGACTATCTTCATCTAAACCGTGTTTTCTCAACTTCAGGTCTATTGATATTTGGAGTCAGATAATTTTTTTTGTTGCAAGGTGTCATTATAAGATATTTAGCAGCATCTCTGACTTATGTGTGTGTGTGTGTGTGTGTGTGTGTGTGTGTGTGTGTTTAGTAAAGACAGGGTTTTGCCATGTTGGCAATGCTGGTCTTGAACTCCTGACTTCAAGTAATCTACCTCCATCGCTAGGTTTACAGGCATGAGCCACCTTGTCCAGTCTGCATTTCTGACTTCTAACCACTAGCCGCCAGTAGCACCCCCTTTTCCCCAGTTGTGATAACTATGAACTGTTTCCAGACATTGCCAAATGTACCCTGGGAGGAAAATTTGTCCTCATTTGAAAACCACCTGTTTAAACACATGTATTGAGTTCCCTTGGTGTCCTGAGCATTGTTAGACTCTTAGATTAATAAATCTAGGAGTCTTTTAGAGATTAAATTAATGCCTTAGAATTTTATACTAGACGTATGTCTGATCTCAAGATTAAGGTACTTCCTATGTGCTGGGATAAAAGCTGAACTGGGTATTAGGAGACCTGAATTTTCATGGTTGTGTGACTTGGTTGAGATCCTTTGCTCAGTAATCTGACTCCTCATCTCTGAAATAACCAATGTTTCCTCCAAGGCTCTTTCTAGTTCTGACTCTATGTCTTGATTTCAAATTGACCTTAGGACTTTATTTTTTCACATTTTTAGAAAGTTAGCATAAGTTGGACTCGCATGTATATTAACCAGCAAGACTAACAGAGTATTGAAAAAGAAAGATATGTGTTTGGGGCTCACTGGTTTATTGTACTCCAATACTTTTTTTTCTTCTTTTCTAGATTATTTGAAGAATCTCATAGAAGATGCTGGAGATTACAGAGATACTCAAGGTAAATAACTTTTGTGGTTGCAGAAGTTTTTATATTATGTTTATTTAGGTAGGGCTAGAAAGTAAATATATATGGATAACAAAATCCATTACAAACTCTATTCATAAGACTTGAGGCCAGGCACAGTGGCTCACACCTGTAATCCCAGGACTCCGGGAGGCTGAGGTGGGTGGATCACCTGAGGTCAGGAGTTTGAGACCAGCCTGGCCAACATGGTGAAATCCCTTCTCTCTCTCTTTTTTTTTTTTTTTTTTTTTTTGAGATAGCGTGTCGCTCTTGTTACCCAGGCTGGAGCGCAATGGCATGATCTCGGCTCACCGCAACCTCTGCCTCTTGGGTTCAAGCAATTCTCCCGCCTCAGCCTCCTGAGTAGCTGGGACTACAGGCATGTGCCACCATGCCCAGCTAATTTTTGTATTTTTAGTAGAGACGGCATTTCACCATGTTGACCAGAATGGTCTCGATCTCTTGACCTCGTGATCCACCCACTTCAGCCTCCCAAAGTGCTGGGATTATAGGCGTGAGGCGTGAGCCACTGTGTCTGGCCTGAAACCCCTTCTCTACAAAAAAAAAAAAAAAAAAAAAAAAAAAAAATGCAAAACTTAGCCAGGCATGATGGTACATGTTTATAATCTCACCTTCTTGGGAGTCTGGAGCAGGAGAATCACTTGAACCTGGAGGGCGGAGGTTGCAGTGAGCCAAGATTGCTCCACTGCACTCAAGCCTGGGCAGCAGAACAAGACTCCTCAAAAAAAACGAAAACAGAAACAAAAGACTTGAGGCCTTTCTGAAAACTCCATTTTGAGCAGATTAACATAGAACCAGGTAAGTAGTAAAGTAGTGCTAGGGATAGGTAAGATTACACAGTCAGGGGAGACCCAAGGCCAGCCCTGCATGGGAACCAGCCTCTTGCAAGTGTGGACCCAGCATGGCTGAGGTCAGGAAGCTTTGCCCTCTTGTGCTCAGTCACTCTGTGTCTGTGCCATATCCAGTTTCCCTAGGAGTCCATTTCTTTGCCTTTGAAAACAGAAATTGAACCAAGATATCTGCAAGGTCCTCAAGCTTCAAAATCATGAGTCCATTAAGTGACCAAACTACAAAGCAGGGATGAAGTCTAAAAAAGCGTATTATTCTGGGACTGTTTAACAGTAGGACATTAGCCTTCCCTCACCCCAAATAGTACTAAGGGAAACAGTCCATTCCAACATCAGGGACTCATTTCTGCAGAATAACCGGAGTTCCTATCTGTCTGTGTCTCTCTCCCTCCCTCACAGATTCACAAATACACACACATACACACAGATTAATTCTGTTTGAGTGTTTCTGTTTATCCCCAACACCTCTTTCAAATATCACAGGTATACTCCGTTTCTTTTTCTTTTTTTTTTTTTTTTTTTTTTTTGAGACAAACTCTGTCACTCTCACCCAGACTGGAGTGCAATAGCATGATCTTGGCTCACTTCAACCTCTGTTTCCTGGGTTCAAGTGATTCTCCTGCCTCAGCCCCCCAAGAAGCTGGGATTACAGGTATGGACCACCATGCCTGGCTACTTTTTGTATATTTAGTAGAGATGGGGTTTTACCATGTTTGCCTGCTGCTCTCAAACTCCCGACCTCGAGTGATCTGCCCACCTTGGCCTCCCAAAGTGCTGGGATTACAGGCGTGAGCCACCGTGCCCAGCACCCCCTAGTGCTAACTGCAGAAACATATTAAACAAGTCTATTAATTTTACGAATTTTGATCACTTTTTTTTTTTTTTTAATTTTTTGAGACAGAGTCTCAGTTTGTCACCCAGGCTGGAGTGCAATGGCCTGAACACAGCTTACTGCAGCCTCAACCTCCTGGGCTCAAGTGGTTCTGCTGCCTCACCCCCTAGGTTTGGATTACAGGTGCACAACATCACACCCTGCTAATTTTTGTATTTTTCATAGAGACAGGATTTTACTATCTTGCCCGGGCTGGTCTCAAACCTCTGAGCTCAAGCGATCCACCTGCCTGGGCCTCCCAAAGTGCTGGGATTATAGGCATGAGCCACCACACCCAGACTGATCACATTCTTGTATATCCTTTACATTTGCAGAGTAAAAAGTGAACATCTTTAACCCATTTTGTAGAGATTCTTATTCTCTTAATCATTTTACTTCTCTAACATCTTCTGTTTGCATACGTTATGCTTTTAAAGGCTTTTTTTTTTTTTTTAAGGAAAAGTTTGTGGTTGGGGATCTGACAAATTTCCTGTCCCAGTGAACATATGTAGTTGATACAAAAGTTTTTAATACCCATCAAATAAAGAACAAAGCAAATGGCTTCAAAGTAAGGGTGCAACGAGCAGGACAGAATCATTTGCATGACAGAGAAAAGTGTGAGGTTGAAGAGGCAGGAAAGCTTTGCAGGAATAAGAAGGACTGGAGATGAGTGGGAGAGTGGATGGGAGAAAAAGTAAGCAAGCGTTCCAGACAGCAGCTCCTCCTCCGAGAGGAGGAATAGAAAGAAACTTGTGGAATAGAAAGAAAACATCTGTCTTGGGTGCTTGGCTTCTGCCTTCAATGAAAATCAGTTATTAGCTCCACATAAAACATTCAGGGTCAGAGATTAAGGAGCTTATTTAAAGGAAATTACACACTACAGCAAAGACATAGATGAGATAAGCAGTGAGCAGTGAGGTCCACTGTATGGCCAGAGGCACAGCAATCAAATGGATAGCAGCGGCCGGGTGCAGTGGCTCATGCCTGTAATCCCAGAACTTTGGGAGGCCAAGGCAGGTGGATCACTTGAGGTCAGTTATTCAAGACCAGCCTGGCAATGTGGCGAAACATTGTTGCTACTAAAAATACAAAAATTCGCGGGGTGGGAGTGGTGGTGCATGCCTGTAATCCCAGCTACTCAGTGGCTGAGGCATGAGAATCGCTTGAACCTGGGAGATGGAGGTTGCAGTGCACTGAGATCCTGGTACTGCCCTCCAGCCTGGGAGACAGAGCAAGACTCTTGTCTCAAAACAAAACAAAAAAATTGTGATATATAGTTGGAGTTTCTACATAAGGAAAAGCCTGCTTTCCTTTAATAATAGTGATGATAATGTTGAAAGAATACAGAAACTCCAGGGTTGGTACCAGGAAGACAGTCCTTTGGTAGATTACAGTAAGTGGACCAAAACACCTCAACCCCTTTTCAGAAATTGATATTTTATTTATTTTTATTTTTTTCTTTTGAGATTGAATCTCATTTTGTCACCCAAGCTGGAACAGTGGTGTGATCTGGGCTCACTGCATCCTTGACCTCCCAGGCTCAAGTGATTCTCCCACCTCAGCCCCCTAGGTAGCTGGGACTACAGACATGAACAATGCCCAGCTAATTTTTGGATTTTTTGTGCAAACAGGGTTTTGCCATATTGCTCAGGCTGGTCTCGTACTCCTGAGCTCAAATGATCAGCCCACCTCAGCCTTCCAAAGTGCTAGGATTACAGGCCTGAGCCACAGCACCCAACCAATACTTTTTTTTTATAGTTCTTTTGTTGATGACCACTGTCACTGCCACAACATCCTCAGAAGGGCATGCTTCCCTCTCTAACTCTCTACCAGGATTTTTTTGGTGGGAATGCTTCTGTCATATTGTACTGAGTAACTTTTTGTGTGGGTTTCTAATGAGTATTGCAGGGAGTCTGGCATCCCCGCCTCCTACCCACTAAAAGTCAGTGGATCTTCCCAGTCATTGTGACAACCAAAAATTGTCTTTATACATGTTCACATGTCCCTAAGGGAGCACTATGGACTTGAGTTGAGAATAACTGCAGCCCCAAAACTGACAAAATGCAGACGTTTTCCTTTAGACCTAGTTACAAAGATGACAAGACTGGAGTACGGAAAAACACTTTGCTAAAGGCAAAGGGTTAATAAAAATAATAAAACACAGATAGGCCCGTGAAGCTAATAACCCACCTCACAAAATGACGCTTGTAAATTCCTGAGATCTAGGATCCTTTCATGTGGCATTTCCCCGATTTCTAATCATGCCTCTTGGAATCAGACTAAGAGAAGGAGACTGAGATCTGATCTTAAATATTCATTTTTCGTAGTTCTTAGTTCCATCAAGATCCTTTGCCCTTGCCATCCTTTTCTCCCAAGACAGTTTATACTGGAATACTTCTTCACTTCCAGGTGAAATCCCATCCTTATCCTTGTAAACTTTTATAGGATAATCGAATCACAGCACAAAACAACCCTGGCATTCATACTGTTGATAAACGCGGTCTACAGTGTTTCTTCAGAGGCTTCTTTTGGCTCGTTTTTTTCCCTATAATTTTTGCCAGATTTTTGTATTCTTGTTTTGTTTTAGTTTGGTTTGGTTTTGCCTTCGTTGAACCTTATATTTCTGCCTATTCACAGTCAACTAAGCTCCTCCAGAGGTTGGTTGCTATAAACTAGCTATCTTGTCCCCTGGAATTGCTTAATGTTGCTAATTATTTGTTTCAATTGTAATTACTAAATGCACCTTCTGTTCCTACCTATTTCAGATGCCCTTGCTGTTGTTATAGAAGTAGCCAACCATGCCAATGACACCATGAAGCAAGGAGTAAGTATCTTGTTATCAGTGACTGGTGTGGTCTTGAACCTGAAAGCCCAGGCCTTCATATGCTTTACATTGTCTTTCTATAGGACAACTTTCAGAAACTTATGCAAATTCAGTACAGCTTGAATGGACACCATGAAATTGTGCAGCCTGGTCGGGTAAGCATTTTAGATTGCTTTTTGCAAACTTGATACGATGCATTTAGGTACCATCTGTATCTGTTTATCATTTCAGTTATAAAAATAGGTTGTTTTTGTTACTCTTCATTGATTCAGTCTTGATCATTTCATCCGTTCAAAACATTCATGATGTAAGTCACTGTGACAGTTCAGTTAGGAATAAGCCCATTCATGAAGTAAGTCCAATTCAATTAGGAGAATGGCAAGGAACTCCACAGAGTATCTGATTTAGTGGGATCGTTTTATTGTGTAATGCCAGCTGACCTCACACAGTTTTGAAGACAGTTTCATTTAAAATCTTTAATGTAAGCGAGGATTATGAAGGGAGGGAGGAAATTGGTATTTTGATGCTCCTCATATAGTACAAAAGTGGCCTAGGGAATGAATTCAGGAAAATTGCAAAAATGCAGTTGTCAAGATGTTGGATATGCTTCAGGATCAAGTACACATTCAGTCAGTTACATGTCCCTCCGTACAGCATCCCTGGGGCCATATTGGATTTATGCAACCCTGCTTGCTTGTCTGATTCCTAAATGACTCAAGGGTTTAAAATTAACTATGATTGTAAAAAATCTCAAGGGAACTATGTCTCTCCAGTCTGTCATGAGAAAACTTCTTGGGGAAGAAAGTTGAAAAGGAAATTATATTGTCGTTGTGTTATGTATGATGGTAGGACTAAATGGGTGTTTGTTTGGATGAATCAGGTTTTTCTCAAAGAAGGAATTCTGATGAAGCTGTCTCGGAAAGTGATGCAACCCCGAATGTTTTTCCTGGTAAGAGGACTCGTGTAGTTCTGATGTGTCCGAGGTAGAGATAGTTGCTTAAGGAAAGGAGACATTTATGCATGGTAGATAAGCTTAGCACATTCAAATGTCAGCCTTGGTGGCTTCTTTAACTGGCCATACTGCTTATTGCATTTCAGGTATGGAAAATTAAAGCTGTTATAATGTATAACCAGAAAATTATTTCCTTTGGGAATTTATTTAATTTCTAACTTGGAAAAATTGTTGACTGTAATACCTTAGTGGGATTTAGAATTCAAAAAACATTAAATCTGTTACAGAACTTGGAAATAAAGCACATTTTCCAGAAATTGCCTTTTAAATAATATTCCAATAAAACATTCTACACAGTTCTAGTGTATATACCAGAATGTAAGTATTTTATTTAGAGAGCTATTAGCAAAGAGGTATTGTTTATCCTTTAATCTTGTATCTTGTCAAAAATCTTTGTAGTGGAAATGTGTTTCTTTACTTTGACCTGTGAAATATTTCTACTTTCAGTTTAACGATGCCCTGCTGTATACAACACCAGTGCAGTCCGGGATGTATAAACTGAACAACATGCTCTCACTGGCTGGACTGAAGGTCTGTGTATCTGTTAGATGATCTGTTTTGTATTTTGAGACCAGGTTTCATTCTGTCTCTCCGGGTGGAGTGCAGTGGTATGATCTCTGCTCACTGCAGCCTCTGCCTCCTGGGTTCAAGTGATTCTCCTGCCTCAGCCTCCTGAGTAGCTGGGATTACAGGTGCCTGCCACCACACCCAGCTAATTTTTGTATTTTCAGTAGAGACAGATTGCACTACGTTGGCCAGGCTGGTCTCAAACTCCTGACCTCAAGTGATAAGCCCGCCTTGGCCTTCTAAAGTGCTGGGATTACAGGCAGGAGCCACCACGCCCAGCCAGATGATCTGTTTTTTAAACCCAAATAAAGGCTGGGCGTAGTGGCTCACACTTGTAGTCCCAGCACTTTGGGAGGCCAAGGCAAGATGAAAACTTGAGCTCCAAAGTTAGAGACCAGCCTGGGCAACATAGCAAAACCCCCATCTCTATTAAAAACAACAACAATAACAACATCAACAAATACGTGATGTATTTAGAGGAAATTCCCTAAGATAAACATTTTTCTTACATCCTTTACTTTTCTGTTACCGTTTATGCATTTGGTTGGTTTGTTTTGTTTGTGACAGAGTGTTGCCCAGGCTAGAGTACAGTAGTGCAATCTCTGCTCGCTGCAACCTCTGTCTCTTAGGTTCAAGAGATTCCCCTGACTCAGCCTCCCGAGTAGCTGGGACCACAGGCCCAGCTAATTTTTGTATTTTTCGTAGAGATGGGGTTTCACCATGTTGGCCAGGCTGGTCTCAAACTCCTAACCTCAAGTGATCTCACCTTGGCCTCCCAAAGTGCTGGGATTACAGGTATAAGTCACCAAGCCCAGCCTGTTTATGCATTTGATTATTCATTCATGTAGTCATTTGTTCACTCATGCATTAATTTATTCATAGGATATTCATTGAGAACTACTATAAACAAAACATAGTAATGAGTTTGGTGGAAAACACGAAGATGAGTTGAAGCATGGTTCTTATTGTCTCTCCTCCCTCAAGGACTTAACAACTAATTGGGAAGATAGCACACTACACATGAATACCCATAAAGTAGACAGTAATAAATATCACTGTAGTGGCACAATTATAGTTTTGGGAGTTCAGAAAATAAAGAACTTATAGTGTTTGATGATCATAGTGGGGACTGGCATGCAGCTTTTGGTAGCAGCTAGGAAAGAAGGAGAAAGAAGAGGAAGAGCAGGCCAGGCATGGTGGCTTACGCCTGTAATCCCAACACTTTGGGAAACTGAGACAGGTGGATCACGAGGTCAGGAGATCAAGACCATCCTGGCCAATGTGGTAAAACCCCTTCTTTACTAAAAATACAAAAATTAGTTGGGCATGGTGGTGCATGCCTGTAATCCCAGCTATGTGGGAGGCTGAGGCAGGAGAATCGCTTAAACCAGGGAGTCAGAAGTTATAGTGAGCTGAGATTGCGCCACTGCACTCCGGCATGGGCAACAAGAGCAAAACTCTGTCTCAAAAAAAAAAAAAAATGAAGAGACAGTGGACCTTAAAGTATACATCACATTTGGCCGTGCTAAGATGTTGGGGAAAGGCATTCCAGATGGAGGGCGTATTGTGAGCAAAGTCCTGGAGATGGGAAAGGTGGGCCCATGTGTGGGCTTTTCAGTTCATCTGAAGCATAGAGTAGTTGAAGGAGAATAGCACTAGATAAAGCTGGATAGGAAGGTTGGTTGTGGATGTCAGCAACCAGGGGCACTGGACAACTTCAGCTGCAGTTCATTGATGGGCTTTTCAGTCGGATGAGTTGGCTCAAATTTTTGTGCTTTCTTCCAGGTCAGAAAACCTACCCAAGAAGCCTATCAGAATGAATTAAAGATTGAAAGTGTGGAACGTTCCTTCATTCTCTCAGCCAGGTACATTTTTTCTTCTTTTTTTTCCCCTCCTCATTCTGAGTCTGCTTCCTAGGGAATGCCAGAACAATTTTGGATTTGGGTTTTTTTTGTTTTTTTTTTTGTTTTTTTTTTAAGGCACCATCTCACTCTGTCACCCAGGCTGGAGTACAGTGGCACAATCACGGCTCACTGCAGCCTCCATCTCCCTGGCCTAAGCCATTCTCCCACCTAAGCCTCCTGAGTTGCTGGGACCACAGGCATGCACTACCATACCCGGCTAACTTAAAAAAATTTTTTTGTGTGTGCCAGGTGTAGTAGCTCACGCCTATAATCCCAACACCTTGCGAGGCCAAGCTGAGTGTATCACTTGAGGTCAGGAGTTTGAGACCAGCCTAGCCAACATGATGAAACCCATCTCTACTAAAAATACAAAAAGTTAGCTGGGCATGGCGGCCGGTACCTGTAGTCCCAGCTACTCAGGAAGCCGAGGCAGGAGAACTGCTTGAACCCAGGAGGTTGCAGTGAGCCAAGATCGAACCACTGCACTCTAGCCTGGGTGACAGAGAGACTGTCTCAAAAAAATTCTTTTTTGTAGAAGTCTCCGTATGTTCCCCAGGCTGATCTTAAACTCTTTAGCTCATGCCACCTTCCTGCCTTGGCCTCCCAAAATGCTGAGATTACAGTTGTGAGTCACTGTACCCAGCCCATTTCTAAGAATATATAAAAATAAATTTTTTTGAGTATTAACAGGGTCAGATATTGCCAGCACTTTTTGCATTTAGGCTAACTACTGACTTTCTGTTTCCTCTTTTTTCTTCTTTCCCAATATTGTGCAGTTTTACTCTTGATCTACCATGCAAGGAAGTGGCTGAGAGCTGAGGCAATAGTGTGCTAGAAGCACAGAGATTAAAATGTTCCTCTGAATGCGATAACAATGGTGGAAGTGCTTTGCTGATTTTTTTTTTTTTTTTTTTGAGATGGAGTCTGGCTCTGTTGACAGGCTGGAGTGCAGTGGTGCGATCTCTGCTCACTGCAACCTCTGCCTCCCAGGTTAAAGAGATTATTCCCCTGCCTCAGCTTCCCGAATCTGGAACTACAGGCGTGCGCCACCATGCCCGGCTAATTTTTTGTATTTTAGTAGAGACGGGGTTTTACCACGTTGGTCAGGATGGTCTCAATCTCCTGGCCTTGTGATCTGCCCACCTCGGCATCTCAAAGTGCTGAGATTACAGGTGTGAGCCACTGCTCCTGGCCTTGCTGATCATTTTTTAAGTGACTATTTCAAATTGTTTTTAAGACCAACTAGTGCTTTATAGGTTATTAGGAAGTTTGTATTTGTCACTTAAAGGTTCTAACAAACCTATAAGGTAGGTACAGTCTCCTACTAAAAATTAGGAAACTAAATTACAGGAAAATGGAGTTGCTTTCTTACGGAAAGCATTTGACACAGCCAGGATGCAAATTGAAGTCTTTTGCCTTTATTTTTATTTTTATTTTTATTTTTTTTTGAGACGGAGTTTCGCTCTTGTTACCCAGGCTGGAGTGCAATGGCACGATCTCGGCTCACCGCAACCTCCACCTCCTGGGTTCAGGCAATTCTTCTGCCTCAGCCTCCTGAGTAGCTGGGATTACAGGCACACGTCACCATGCCCAGCTAATTTTTAGTATTTTTAGTAGAGACGGGGTTTCACCATGTTGACCAGGATGGTCTCGATCTCTTGACCTCGTGATCCACCCGCCTCGGCCTCCCAAAGTGCTGGGATTACAGGCTTGAGCCACCGCGCCCGGCCAGTCTTTTGCCTTTAAATCTATTGTTTTGGGCCGGGAGCAGTAGCTCATGCCTGTAATCACAGCACTTTGGGAAGCCAAGGTGGATGGATCACCTGAGACCAGGAGTTTGAGACCAGCCTGGCCAACATAGTGAAACCCTGTCTCTACTAAAAATACAAAAAAAATTAGCCAGACATGGTGGCATGTGTCTGTAATCCCAGCTACTCTGGAGGCTGAGGCAAGAGAATCACTTGAACTCAGGAGGCGGAGGTTGCAGTGAGCCAAGATCGCACCACTGCACTCCAGCCTGGGTGACAGAGTGAGACTCTGTCTCAGAAAGAAGCAGGGGAGGGAGGGAAAAGAAATCCATTGTTATTTATGATACCACCTCGCCCCAGACTGGAACCTGCAGTGACTTATATGGTATCATAATGTAATTCAAGTGCTAAGGAAACCTGCAGCTGTATGATTCATAAAAATATATTTTTGATTTACTGACTGAGTGGCAGAAGTAGGTATTTGGGAAGGTTTGATGGGTGAAGGGAGAGATGCCAATAGTTACAGCATGCTCCACTATACAATCTCAATAATGAGATTCTCCCTCCTCAGACTTAACCTTTGATCTAATAAAAATAGAAGCAAATGCTTTTGTAACACTTACTGTATGGCAGGAACTGTTACAAAGATTCTGTGTATTACTTCATTACATCTTCACAGCAACCTATTAAGGCAAGATATTATGATTATACACATTGTGTGCTGAGAAAAGCCACTCAGCTATACTAACAGAGCCAAGATTTGACCCAGGCAGTCCATTTCCAATTGTCCATACCACTAAAATCAACGAGGATCTTACGAGCAGGTGGAGTAGTGGCCAGAATAATTTATTACTCTGCATCAGTCACAGTGCTCAATGTTATGTTTTATATTTATTTTCTCTTTTAAGTTCCATGATAACCTATGGGGTGGATATTATCCTGATTTTCCAGATTAGAAAAGTGGAGGCTGAAAGAGGTTCAATAACACATCTAAGGTTACATGAGTTGTAAGCAATGGAGCTGTGATTTGAACCTAGGTGTTTCTGACAACCATTATAATTTTGCCTATGTCCATGGATGTCAAGGACTCAAACCAAATGTCCGATTTCCCAAAAATCAGAGAACCACAAGAGTCATCCTGGGGTGTGCTACTCCTCCGAAATGCAGTGGCCACTGCTGCATGACATACAGGATGACAGGAGAAGACAAATACCTGTGATCAGGGTTTGTTGAATACTTCGCAACTACGAGTCAGAGCAAGCAAAGTTCTTGAGGGTACCTGAAGCATCCACCAGATACCAATATTTAGAGAGTGCACATAAACTCTTGATCACTTAGCATTGTGACTTTTTTCTTTCTTTTCTTTGCTCACTCCATCACCCAGGCTGGAGTGCAGTGGCATGATCTTGGCCAACTGCAGCTTCTGCCTCCTGGGTTCAGGCGATTCTTCTGCCTCAGCCTCCCAAGTGGCTGGGATTACAGGCACATGCCACTATCTATGCCCAGCTAATTTTTGTATTTTTAGTAGAGATGTGGTTTCACCATGTTGGCCAGGATGGTCTCGATCTCTTGACCTGGTGATCCGCCTGCCTTGGCCTCCCAACCCAAAGTACTGGGATTACAGGCGTGAGCCACCCAGCCTCTTTTTTTTTTTTTTTTTTTTTTTTTGGAGACGGAGTTTCACTCCTGTTGCCTAGGCTGGAATGCAAGGGCACGATCTTGGCTCACCCGCAATCTCCACCTCCACAGTTCAAGTAATTCTCTGCCTCAAACTCCCAAGTAGCTGGGATTACAGGCATGCGCCACCATGCCTGGCTAATTTTGTATTTTTGGTAGAGATGGGGTTTCTCTGTGTTGGTCAGGCTGGTCTCAAACTCCCGACCTGATGTGATCTGCCCACTTCAGCCTCCCAAAGTGCTGGGATTATAGGCATGAGCCATAGCACCGGGCTTTAAAAAAAAAAAAAAAAAAGACAGGGCATAGTGGCTCACGCCTGTAATTCCAGCACTTTGGGAGGCTGAAGTGGGTGGATCTCCTGAGGTTTGGAGTTTGAGACCAGCCTGACCAACATGGAGAAACCCCATCTCTACTAAAAATACAAAATTAGCCGCCTGTGGTGGCACATGCCTGTAATCCCAGCTACTTGGGAGGCTGAGGCAGGAGAATTGCTTGAACCTGGGAGGTGGAGGTTGTGGATGAGGCAAGAGTGTGCCATTGTACTCCAGCCTGGGCAACAAGAGCGAAACTGTCTCAAAAAAAAAAAAAAAAAAAAAAAAAATTAGAGATGTGATTTCACTATGTTGGCCAGGCTGGTATTGAACTCCTGACCTCAGGTGATCCATCTGTTTCGGCCTCCCAAAGTGCTACAGGCAGGATTGCGCCTTTTTAAAAATTTTTTTAGGTATAGAGAGTTTGAACAAAAGTTCAAAGAACCTTAAACTGCTGTATATCATGTTTCCGGTGGGTGCTTGAGCTTGGTTCTTTTTTTTTTTTTTTTTTTTTTTTTTTTAGACAGAGTTTTGCTCTTGTTACCCAGGCTGGAGTGCAATGGCGCGATCTCGGCTCACCGCAACCTCCGCCTCCTGGGTTCAGGCAATTCTCCTGCCTCAGCCTCCTGAGTAGCTGGGATTACAGGCACACGTCACCATGCCCAGCTAATTTTTTGTATTTTTAGTAGAGACGGGGTTTCACTATGTTGACCGGGATGGTCTCGATCTCTTGACCTCGTGATCCACCCGCCTCGGCCTCCCAAAGTGCTGGGATTACAGGCTTGAGCCACCGCGCCCGGCCGAGCTTGGTTCTTAAAATGAAGAAAGTTATTTTTAAAATTCAAAGGAGGAAATGCCTATAGAAAAGTCAGGTTTTCAATTGCACTTCTATTTCCCAAGTAAAAATGAGCCTTGGTAAAAACAAACAAACAAACAAAAACAACAGTATTTTATTTTATTAAGATTAATTCAGGAAATTATAGTAAATGTTTCTTTCTTTGATTGTCAGGTAGATAGCCGGATGTTTATGATTTCCAGGTCAGTACCTGACAGGTGTAATGAACAGCTCTGATCGGGGTTTATATTTCTGTAACCTTTTTTTTTTTCCTTTATTGAGACGGAGTCTCCCTCTGTCGCCCAGGAGTGCAGTGGCATGATCTGGGCCAGGTGTCCCCAAACTTATTACACAGGGGGCCAGTTCGCTGTCCCTCAGACTGTTGGAGGA